CCACAAGGCTGACAGTTTATTTTCTTGTTCTCATGGATATAAATCATATCCTTAGTCTTTTTTAAGATCAAGTAAGTCAAACCTTCTCCTAAATTCTGATTCCTTTTACTTCCCTTCTTTAACTACTCCCTGTACTTCTCAATCTCCCAGGCAATTCAACAGGAAAAAAAAAAAAATCGCTGTCTGTCACTTTTAGATCTGAAGGGAAGAACCATCTCTCTGACAGGGGTTTCTCTGTTTCTCCCTGGGAATCTCCTTGGGGTCAGGGGTCCACTTCTACTAACTATACAGTGCAGAACCCTTTGCCTCTGTCTTCCAGTGGTTCAGACAATGGGAGGAGTGGGAGAAAACAGGAAGGCAGGAGGAGAGATGCCAGGGTGTCTACTCCTTTGCTCCCTCCTGCTCTCCTGCTTAAGTCTAGGCAGCAGATGTGACCCTCACCACTCCCATTGTCTTAGCCCCTCTCATGTGTCTCTAGCTGTCCCCAGGCTCCAACAAAACAACCTCTTCCTGTTGCCCCTTTAAGCCCAGGGGCCCTGTTGGAAATTCCTGGATACTTTGGTGTCTTGTGGTTCTCTTGACCTGGCTACACCTTGTCAACTTCTTTCCAACATCCCAGCTGAGTGTGCCTTCTGTCCCCTGCAGGACCCCAACTGATGACCTCTGGCACCCTCTAGATCCCTCTAGATCATAGAACAGGCTAAAACAAGACCTGGCGGTGACTCTGGTCATCTATTTTTACAGCAGTTCTGACTCACCTTTTATAAACTAGAGTCAAATGTGTTACCTGACAGGAGGGGAGGGAGCTTGGCTGTCCTTCTGCATTTTCCATAGCGCTGCCTCTGCCCCACGTGGCAGCAGGGAGAACTCCCGACACAGGAACCAAAATGGCAGACTGACTTCCAAGTGCCGCCTTTAAGTGTGCGGGTGGTTAAATTTAGAATATGAATAAACATTTATCCTTGGTACCCACGACATAATTTCACATCTGTAATAAACTTCTGCTTTGACTCGATGTATATAAGCAGCTGTGCACTTGTTTTTTTCTAAAAATAAAATCAATGACACCCCACCAACACTCTCCTCTTTACTCCTCTGTGATGTATTCTGAGCATAAACAAGTCCTCAAAGTTTCATGGGTTATTTTTCTTTTCTTCATATAATACACATGCCACAAATCTGCAATTATGGGATTTCTAAGAATTTAAATGATATGGTCTAGATACTAAATAACCCCTTTGTTTTTGGAAAACACACACACAACATCCAAGAGCATGAATTTGTCTCTTGAAGGTCAACTGGTAGCCAAAGTTAAACTCTGAAAACAAGTTTCAGAAATATCACCTTTGTTACTTCCTTATCAATTGCAATAAGTAAGTAAATAATACCATCTAAAAGAAGTATTCTTTCTTAATGTGCCCCAATTATGAAAGTTTCTCAAGAGTGGTGACAATTCCGAATTATTCCCAACTCACAAAAAAATGGTCCAATCTGACCTGTGTACTGAGACGAACTCATTCAACCCAGCAACATTGATTCAAACAAGATCCAAAAGGTATAATACCCAGACCATCCTATACACCCAGAGCCAGCAAGAAGCACTTTAGTATAGGACACTCTGGTGAACGAAATCAGGGTCATTTTAGACAAGAGACTGTCAAACATAATACATCTTAGATGACTTTATGATTTTAAAATAGAATGAGGGGAAACTTCTAATTAGAAATGAATTAGTTCATTAAACATGATTAAACACTTCATAAATTTTTGCCCTGACCACCTGCTGATTTAGGCACCTTAAGAAATAAAGAAATATGGTCAATGACTCTTACCTTTAAGGAGTTTATAGTCTGGTCAGGTTAGGGCATAAAAAGAGAATTATGGCATATGAAAGTGGATACAGAAGAGTGAGAAATGAATGGTCTGGATGGTGAGAGCTCTGGGAATTCAAAAGAGAGAGAAAAGACAGAAAACTGCCTTCAGAGTCCTCAGGGGGAAGAAAAAAATAGTTTTTCTCTGAAAAGCAGCAGTTCCTGTTTTAAAAGTTACGAGAGGAAACTTTAAATTATCTAATTGAATCAAACCCAGTTTCTTTATTGTACAAGTTTGCCAACTAAAGAGGGTAATATTAAAACACTTTGTGGTGGTCCAAACGATGACTGAACACACTTATTTCTTGATGATTTTCTGTGGACTAAGGACATAAGAAGCATTCATTATCACCAGCCTGGCAGGAAGCACACAATTCAAGAACAGCAGACTTTCAGAAAACCGAAGGTAGTGAAATTATATTCTCTCTCCTCGAAGGTTTTCTATTGATCTTCTTAGAGCAATTTCAGAAAAATTGCAAACAAATAATTTACACCCGATAAGAAAAGACAAGCTCAGGGAAGATAGGTGATCCAAAAAATGAGGAAATATCTCTGGCTGAACCATGTTCTATTATGAAGGGCACACTGTCCTGATGGCTGACCATTTTTCTTTCCTTATCTGAAGGCTTAATGCTAGGGTGCAAGATGAGGAGTTAAACTCTTCCTTTCTGTTGGCTGCCAACACTTGCAATTTATCAGACTCATTGCTATTTCATTTATTGTAGTGCTTAGCAAATCGCCATTGAGCTCTGTGGAGACAGAAGCCATCCTTGGGTCCAGCCAGTGCACAATAGAGAGATGGGTAGAGGGAGAAGCTGCTGTCTTTCCAATTCATCTTGACTCATTTGAACTTGAAAAGGGAACACTTTTCAGTCTGCAAGGAATAACACCACACAGAAAGTCGGACCAACTACCAAAAGGATTCCACGTGGGCCTTCTAAGTCTAAGCATGATTTTTCCAGGTAATCCGTCATCAATTCATGGCATCCTGGTGATTTCAGCTCCCATAGCTCCAAATTCTGAAGGATTTAGAGATGTTTCTTCAGAAATGACAGGAGCTGTTAGCTACGTTGCAAAACTTTTCTTTTTATTAGCAGATGGTGGGACTTCTTTTTCATTTCCAATTATGAAAACATGTCTCAACTTGTTATTTTAAGCTATGGTGAGCATTTGACCTCCAGCATAAGGCACACGGAGAAATAAGATTGTTTACTTTAGACTTAGTTTATAAATTAGTGTGTTGATTCAGGGTCTGGATAATCCATTTTGCTGTTCTGTTTTTTTTTTTCTTTTTTAAATTCAGCAATAGTGTGTAATTTAAAATGTCAGGAAATGGTAATAAAAGGGTGGAGGTTTTTTCCTGCTCAGTAATTATGCTCTGATATTAAAGTTAAAATACACAAAATAAAAGCCATGGTTATTTAGTATTTTTCTTCATACCACACAGTCACTATAAAAGCTGTTTTATGTCCTTATCTTTTTCCATCCATATTTGTATTCTGCATATGAATTCAGCTCTTGTCAAATTCTCAAAAGGAGTATTCTTGCTGGTCTTCATCTGGGTCTTTATTTTGGCCATACAGTTGCTTAAGATTAAGGTGAAAACAGATTTCACACTAGAGGAAAACACACCAGCCTGCAAGCTTATAAATCTAATCTCAAATGATTGTATATGCAGAGCAAGTAGGGTTTCCTAAAAAAAGAAAGTGTTTGCCAAAGTCAAATAAAGAATGACCACGTAGAAAACACTGTGCAGACTTCTCAGATTCCAAATAGGAAAAGGGAGGGTCACTACAAAATCAAGCAGAAATGAAAATGCTGGATATGGTGAGGTCTCTTTGAAGATTCACAGCCTGGAACCTCAAAGCCCCAGTAGTATCTTAGGTGCCAATGACCTCTGAACCCATGGGCATCTCTCACTTTTCTGTTCAAAACTTGTGCAGAATCCACGTCTAACAATCAAACTTTACGTTTTGATTGTTATTCTCTTTGAAGATTCTGATTTTCTTAAACTACTTTCTCTGGAATTTTAAAAGAAGCACAAAGAAAAAGCAAAAACCAACCAAAAACAACAATAAAAAATAAATAAATAAAATAAAAAACCAGGGCAAATACCAAACTCTGAGATTAACTTCAAACTTTACAAATTCAAGTAAGAAAATTTAAATGTGTCAAGTTGTAGGCGGCATTTAAGGCCATAACTAGTTATTATCCTGCAGTATTTATATGGCGCTCTGGGCACTAGATGCTTCTCAACCACTAATTACATATCTCTCTGGCTGTCCCAATAAGGGAGTGCAGTGTCCTTAACCACATTGAACAGGCAAAGAATCAGGAGTTAAGTGATGGGCCTCAGGTCACAGACTGAACAGAAGTTGGGAAAAAGGAATCTGATACCTAGAGTCTTTCAGATCAAGCAAACTTCTTGTCCAGCTTTACCTTCAAAATACCAAAGAGGTCAATACTGTTGTAGATTCAGAATTTTTGTTACAACAGTGAGAAAGCCAGAAACGTCACCACTCTTCAGGGAGCAAAATCAGTCACTGAAGTTGTTCTACAGCAGCCATTCTGGAATACTGGCCTATAGCAGAATCTCTTGGTGTCCAGGCTTATTAAAATACAAACTTTTGAAAAGCGACTGCAGTCCTTCCCATTCAGGAAGTCTGGGGTGAGGCCTGAGATTCTGCATTTCTAATAAGGTTCCTGGTGATATTGATGCTCCTGGTCTAGGAAATTGTATGGAATCCACCTTCCACTTCACATCAAGGCCTTTTCTCATACACCTTGGAATCATCCATCTCTCTCCAGGGATTGTCTTCAGATGATATTCCTCTTCCTGTGGGCCTGGCTTTTCAGCTTCCTCATCCCTGATTTTGGTCTGCATGTCCCATAGATGGAAACGAGGCCATGCAACAAGGTGATTAAAAGCCTTGGTTCTGCTTTCTATCAGTTTTCCCACCCAGGTCTTACTATTTCCATTGTTGTACCTGTGCTATGGGATAAAATACTATTTGCCCTATAGGCTGAATTTAAGGGTTAATTGAGGTCACCGACTAGAACATTGGATGCCTGACATAGAATTAAGAACTCTCTGATATTTATCACTATTATTATTCTGTTTGCCCAACAAACATTATGGAACACCTATTTATTATACATTGGGGTATATGGAGAACTATAGGGCATATTGAGGGTAATGGAGAACTCTCAAGGAACTTACTATCTAAATCTTGAGCGACATGGGGGTCTCAGAGTCATCTAGGAATCATACTACATGAACAAGTTCCAAGAAACAGTCCATAACAGGCAAACACGAAACAAAGCAAGGATAACCAAAATCTGTCTTCAAATGAAAACTTATGTGAAAGACCAAAAGGTAAAGTTGGGGTTGTTCTGGTTGAACAGGGAGGGGAAATCAGATGTCCCTCCTCCTGATTCCTACTCTGCTTTGCCAAAGGCTTCTGTGGAGCCCCAGCCCAGGTAGAAAACCATACTACTAGACATACTTTAAAATAGAGGAATCTAAGGCCCAGAGAGGCTGTGCAACTTTGATATAAGACAGAGCCAACTGTGTTGCTATACTTGGGGTATGATCAGGATAAAAGACCTCAGAATTATGTACTGGAAAGAACTTTACAGATGATTTAAAATTGATTTGGTGTTCTCATTTTACAGAGAAGGATACAGAAGCTTGGAGGTATTTTAGAAGCAGATCCTGGGAACACGGCCTGCCTTCCTGATTCCTAACCCAAATTTCTTTCTGCTGCATTTCTTCTGCTCTTCATTCCTGCAAACAAGACTCCAAGATGGAGTATGGCTCTTCTCCACTCAGTGGTACCAGAAGCTAAAATATTTCAGGCCAGCCTAGTGGGCAATTCAGGGTGTCTTCCTTCAAAATCCATCTCCTTCTCTGCAACTGAGAGGGTACATCTAATAAAGATGTTGGCACTTCGTTGGTTAGTTTTTTGCTCCAAAGTACACTCCTCCTCTGACATGCTGGTATCTTAATAAAGGTCATTCACAGAGGGGAAGGAGCATTGAAAAGAATTTGGGGAGGCTCAGAACCAGAAAAACATCAAAGAAGGCCTGAGTCCATTGGCTGGCATCCATATGTGATGCTGATGGATGTCACAGGAGGGCACAGTTTCTTTCCAATTGCCACTGGCTTCCCTGCCAAGGAGAACAGTCCTTGAATTACAAAGGAGAAAACAGAAGCCACTGTGTGGTAAACTGGAGATGACCAAAACTTCTAACGCTCTAAGTGAACTCAAATCTCACACCTGGATGAGCGGCACCCCAGGCTCACAGGAAATGTTCCAATGAGATGGTCAACCTGCCAGCGAGGCCTTCCAGCTTCCCCAACCATGAGAGGGAGGCCAGAAACAAGGAATGAAACAAAGTCTCCGTTTAATTAAAAAAAAAAAAGAAAAAGAAAAGAAAGAAACAAGATTTCTCCAAGATACAAGTACTTGGACTAGAAATTGATCTCAGAAAGTATCAGTGGGGTGGGAGAGCGGGTTGTAAAGGGAATTGAGCCTGGTGGTGCCAAGGAGTAAAGTCAGTCTCCCTAGGAACAAACCATATCATACTAGGGCCAGTCATTTCTTAATAGGATAAAGCCACAAAATCGGGAGATCAGAGAAAATGAAGCAGACAAGATGGAGTTAGCAAAGAACTGAGGACGCCGTTATAACACATAGGACAGAAATCAGTCCAATCAAGTAGGTGAACAACTTGATGATTGACATTTGCAATAGACATGAATTAGTTTTAGGGAAATATTTCTTGGCCTTACCCCAGGCAATATTTAACCAAAAGCAGAGAGTATTCTTACCCAAATTGTCCAGGTACAACAGATCAAATTAAAATTAGCATATTTGCAGGAAGTATGCTCTATCCCCTTTGTAGAATAAAAATTTAGAAGCTCAGACTACCACCTGGATGAAGTCAATAATACATTGGATGGCAAAATGTGTAATTAAAAAGATCTGACAGCCTAACATGAAATTTGATAAAATTCTAATTTAAGAGAGGTAAGTATAATTTTTTTTTGCTGAAAATCTTTTTTTTTAAATAAAAAAGCATTGCTAATGTTGGGGAGACACAACCTAGTGAGGTACTTATGATATAGCCGTAGAAATTATAATTGGTGTAACCTCAATAGTACTTGAAGTAGGACAAAGCCACCAAGAAACTCTCATCTTCAGCTATGTCTGCAGAATAACGTGGTGGTCTGCTTTGGATGGACTATTTAGGCAAAGTTCTAGGTACCCTGTTCTAAGATTAAGGAAGGACTGGGATAGGTCTGGAAGAGAATGAGAGGATTCAACATTCATCAGGTCAGACATGGTTGAAGGAACTGAGTCAATAACATCTGGGCAGGCCTGGGCTGAACGGCCAGATGGGGATGTGTTCTGGGCAGTCCAGGCCCAACAGAAACGGTGCACCCTAACATCTCCAATGGCTGCAGCAGGAGGAAGGGATCCATCACAGGAGCCTGTCAAGGAAGGCCAAACAGTAACAGTACTTCCCAAAAGATGCAACCTCTGTCCTCACCCTCCAGGCTCTCCCTGTCTTGGGTAGTGTCAACGTGGCCATGTTTGCAGCAACTAATCCTCTTCTGGAAATAAAGACCTAGGACTTCATCCGGCCAGTTGGAAGAGCTTCTTCTATGAGCCACCAAACTGTACTGAAATCCCAATAAAGCCTTTCTAATGAGATGCTGGGATCACAGAGACCTTTCATCTAGGCAACTCCGGGGCATTTTCACACCAATTATTGCTTTTTATCTTCACAATACTCCCACCAGGTGAAGAGGAGGGAGCAGGTTTTATTTTGCCCATTTTGTAGGCGGAAAAGCTTGGGGAGACATGGCAAATTCTACTCCATCCTGGGGTCTGGAATTGATAATCTGGTTCTTTCCACATCTCCATTAAAAAGGGGGTCTAGGCCACGTTCCATCTTTCTGTAGGACACTGTCCTTATTACACAGCATTTGAAAGCAACACTAACTGAGGGCTGAATTAAAACTTTTGGTTCCAGGGTATCAGGGACCTGCTGGTGGAGGCAAGTACAGCTCTTAGGAAACAGTGTGAGAAAAGTCATTTGACCCTTATTAGTGGTGATTGACAAGGAAATGACAGCTTCGATAGGACCTTCATCTCACTTAACCTCATTTTCCTCAATTATCTGACGAGTTGATCATTCTCTGGGATGTAAAGCAGATCCCAAATGGCTTTTAACATCACATGAAAATATCCAGGGCTTAAGAGCACTCTATTTTATGATTCTACTGTGGTATTTAACACAGTATGCCTTAAATTAGATTGGCAAGCATCTCTCAGAGTCATGGGATCTGTAAAGGACATGTTAAACCTTCCTTGTCTGTGTGTCAGGAGGTATAAAAGAAGAGGTATGAACACAGTTTCTAAAATTAGATGGCCTGAGTTCAAATCCCAGCTCAACTACTTAAGAGCTGTGTGACCTTAAACAAGTTGGTCAAGCACTCTGTGTCTGGCTTTCCCTTCTATAAAAGTGTATATCTTTCTCCAGGGAACAGCTGTGAGTGCCTGACCCCTGCGATGCATTTCCCATGTCAGCCTCCATTACCGATGAACAGTCTGTAGACTATGAGCCCTGAGCATGGCAGCTGAAATCAATTTATAGACTCTTTATTCACTTGCAATGAGATCTTGGGTTGTTTACACTAGAGGAACATATTAGGAAAGCTTGCATAGATGAAATGCACAGAAAACTAGAAATCTAATTCTTGAAAAGAATTTCAACCACTTTTTTTCCAATGAACCTTTACAACCAAGCCAACAATCTATAAAGATCTTTTGGAGCTTGTTTTTTTAGATGAGACAGTGATGTGTCAGAGAACTCATTCTAAAGGGAGTTTTAAAAATAAGCCACTTTCAAATGTCCCATAAGGGAGAAATTTACCTAATTGCTCACAGCATCAAGACTAATTTTAAGTGACTTAGATTCTGGTGTTTGAGAATAAATAAGATGGGATCCATGTGGCCTTAATGTGAAGCAGATTCATGTCTTCAGCTGGCTGGAGGTGAAAGGAAGAGGGCACTTCGAAGGCAGAGGGAGAGGGCCAAAGACAACCGCTCCACAGAAGGTTCCCCTCAACCTGGAAGGAGCCGATCAGAGCCCTGGGAGACAGAAAAAAAAAACTAGGCAAGGAGAGAACCCAAGGGGAAACAGGCATCCAGCTGTGGCAAGACAGTTTATAACAGGTTAAGATTTGAAAACAGCCATCAATGTCGCTATTCCAGTTAGAGTCTTCCTTTACTCACATCTAACTGGCTGTTAGATGTGAGTAAAGGAAGAGGCTGCACTCTGAAAGTGGCTCTGTTGGTTTTGATGTTTTTTTTAAATATTTACTTCACTTGCTCTCTTTCCATAAAGAGAATTTTTTATAATGAAGTTACAGAAAATGTACAGTCACAGATCTGTGGGGATGCCGGCAGACAAGCCTCCCTGGCAAACTTTGTAAGGATGCTCTTGTGATTCAGGACTACGGGTTCTGTCACCACTGGTTAACAGTGTGTCTAAGCCCAGGGGAACGAGGGGGTAACAAATGGATATCCTCCTTGAAGCAGAGACTGCAAAAATCCCAAGCCCATCGTTTGGTCCCCTTGGGACTCAAGTCTCCTGTGTCTGAAGTTCCTGCTGGCAATTAGCATGGTGGTTAGGAACTCCCGCACTGGTCTGGTTTTAATCCAGTTCTGTCACTTTCTGGCTTTGACAATCTGGCTTTGGGCAAATGATTTAACTTCTCAGCACCTCCCTTGCTTCCTCTTTAATAGCGATATCTAGATATCTAGCTGGGGACAGTGGCACATGTCTGTAATCCCAGCTGCTCCAGAGGCTGAGGCAGGAGGATCCTGAGTTTAAGGGCAGCTTTAGCAATTTAGTGAGGCCCTAAGCAACTTAGTAAGACACTGTCTCTAAATAAAATATAAACAAAAAAAGGGCTGGGGATGTGGCTCAGGTGAATCATCCCTGGGATCAATCCCCGGTACCAAAAACAAAACAAAACAAAACAAAAAAAAAACCTATTGGATTGGGCCTATCCATGAGGGGAGCCAGGTGTTTTCCCTGAGCTAATGTGTCAAGGGCTGAGCACAGTCCACTCTAAGTAGCCATGATCATCATATTCATCAATCCTCTGCTCCACCCTCTAGTGGAGAGTCACAAAAATGCAGAAATAACAAAAGACAGGGACTGGTGGGGGGTTTGGGGGAGGGAGGCTGCACAAAGAAATTGGGCATTGCAACACTGGTTTTATTCACCCCTAAAGAACAAGCTGTGACACAGGCTTTGGTGCCACTTGGTTCCAGAATAAACAAAAGCCCTGAGGATCCAGGGCCCTGTCAGAAAACCCTAACATTGCCATATTGTGAACAGCAGCATCAGGCATTCACAGGGAGGGAGGGAGGGAGGGAGAGACATGCCAGAAATACAGTGGTTTGTGGAAATGGAGAAGACGGGGCACCTGTAATCTGGCACCACTATCTCTTGGGCCTATCAAAAGAGTTACTGGAGTCCCTCTGACCTAAGGATCAAAGGATTAAATATAAATCAACCATTTTGCTACTCTGTTACATCTGAATTGTGTCCACAGGATGGGAAATTACAGGATGTCAGGAAGGTACCATGCACCAGGCCTGGCACCAGAGAATACAAAAGACACCTTTGTGCCAGTATAAAAATAGGATGAGATTTGAATTTCTGCCCATCAGGAAGGTGCTGAGCTGACTTCCACCTGCAGCCTTTCTCTCCTCCATAGCTCCCCTCACCTGGGACCCCTGTAGTTACACTACCCGCATTATTTTTCTAATCACAGTAGGCTAAGAACAGATGGCTGCAACCTTTTCCTTTTCTTATGATTTCATTAAAATGTTGTACACACAAAGACCTCTATGTGATTCCTCAGAGGTTGTTATGGTTTAGATATAAAGTGTCCCTCCAGAACCCCTTTTTTTAATATTTATTTTTTAGCTTTAGGTGGACACAATATCTTTATTTTACATTTATGTGGTGTTAAAGATCGAACCCAGTGCCTCATGCATGCCACGTGAGCACTCTACCACTGAGCCACAACACCCCCGACCTATCTCTTGTTAATGCAGGAATACTCAGAGGTGAAATGATTGCATTGTGAGAGCTGAAACCAAATCAGTCCTTCCTAGTTTGAATGGACTGCATGGTAACTGTAGGCAAGTAGGGCATGACTGAAGGAGGTGGGATACTGAGGGCCTCTGCTGTAAAGGTGCCTCTACCCTGCAGTCCCTCCCTTTCTCTCTCTGTGTCCTGACTCCACCTTAAAAAGCTTTTCTCCACTGGGCCCTTCCCCCATGATGTTCAGCCTCTCCATCACCTAGAACAATGGAGTCAGCTGTCTATGGACTGAGATCTGACACCATGAGCCACAAATAAACTTTCCCTCCTCTAAGTTGTACTTGTCAGGTATTGTGATTACAGCAATGCAAAAGCTAGAGCTACTTAAGAGCTTATGGCCCCGAATGACTTTAAATGTGCAGATTTCACACTCGTGGTTCTGTCTGTAGGCACTAGACTATTACCTGCCTCAGGAGAATCCCACTTCCCCTCTCAGCCCCTGCATTCTGAGCCTCTGCTGTGTGACTCAGGGACCAGCATCTCACACCTGGGGCAAAGCACCAAGAAAAGGGGAGCTTGTGGTCAGCACTGCTCTGGGAATGTAGTAGGAGGACAGGGGACTTGCAGGAGCTGTGGATGCCTGTGTAACCCTGCCAGCCACAGCAGTCAAACTAAACACATCTACGTGTAAATTCAATTTTCCCTTTCTATTTCATGGGAAGAGGAGATTTCACTCTGTTGTGAGGCCCCAACGATCATGTTTACTCACAGTTTTGATTTGAAGGTACTAGTTATTTGTTATCAGACGGCATCTGCTAAATTATTAGCAGTATAAATTACATGCAGGATGGTTTGCTGAACTAGCGCTAAGTTTCTTGGTTTAATAAATGTGCAAGTGTCAAGATAAAAAGAAAATCAAAAAATTAATGCAAGTTATCAGGGGGAAAAAAATACTTTGGCTAGGGGAGCTTCCTAAGGCACATAAAGAGGCTGGAAATCTTATAGGGCTCTGACCTGGCCCTCATCTCTTCTCATATCACATCTTCTGGCCTGGGCTCACTCCACTTCCTTGGCTGCTATGAAGTCCACATAGCTGTCTCCATCCCAGGTCTCTTTTCGCAGTGTTCAGGGACAGGAGTCAGCAAATTTCTTGAAAAGGATTGGAGAGAAAACATCTCAGCTTTGTGGCCACCCAGTTTCTGTTGCACCTACCCAACTCTGTACTTAGAGTATGAAAGCAGCCAGATGGTTAAGTCAGTTAAAGAGTTGACTTAAAACTTTATTTGCAAAAATAAGGGGAAGGCAGGATTTGGTCCATGCTGACAGGGTTTGCTGGTCTTTGCTCTCAAATCCAAGGGCCCAGGAGACATTTCCACCTAAAACACTTCAGATCTGCCCCCAGTCTGAATGCTTTAGGTTATATGCATTCTCTTTTATGTCTAGTCTCCTGTAAATGTAGCAATAACTCTCATATGTCTGGGGCTACCACTGGAACAGCATCCATATTCTCACCCTGGCATCCCACAGTCAAGCACAGACCCTTCCAAGCCTCACTTTAAATATATCTTGTAAGTCTTCCTTAATG